GTGTTGTACTTGAGAGTATTTGTGGCTTTATGCTAATTGTGTATATTGCATATTGATTCACCTGTATTTGCATGTGAAATGAATATTTGTGCACTGTACTGAGGAGTCTGTACCGTACAGGGGATGTCTGGCAATGATTGCCTCTCTCAATGCTAATTGTGGAGAGGAGCCGCAGTGCATTGCTCCAGAGATATCACTGACTTATCTGAAGTTAGGATCCGACCTTTCCATCTTAGCTCTGGAGACAGATGTCAATTAAATATGTATAATTGTCTGAGTGGTTGTATATTTACCATAAGAACCTTTGCTGATTGAGATATATATGTGTATATATATATATATATATATATATATATATATATATATATATATATATAATATATATATATATATATATAATGTATTTTTGTGTCTTTAAAGTATTTCTGCTCCAAATTTCTACATTATCACCGATATCAGGATTACAACAAAGGTGAGTTGGCAAAGTTTACATCATCGAACTTTGAATTAACTCCTGTTTAAATGGTCTTATGATTTCCCTTCAATCTGATCAACTAATAAATGGGTTGCACTTTCAGGAACTGATGGAGTTTAATAAAGGCAAATAGGCTGTTCTGTATGCAAGGGAATTTACCCTTAATTTGTGAATGAGGTGAAGCTCTGCTGACTTTCATCCTCCAATCAAGTGCAAGGAAAAAAAATAGAACAAAAATACTGAGGGTTTTTTTTTTGTTTTTTGTTTTTTACTGTTCACCAAATTCACTAAACTAAGGGAAAATTCAATTGCAAAGTGTAAATTCCTTCTCAAAGTAGTCTACGTGCCTTTAGTAAATCAACCTATGTGTCTCCTGGACTCTGATTTCATTAATACACTCTTGCACAACTATTATTTAACAATACATTATTTACTAAAAATTGGACCACTCATAATCTGGTGCAGATGTGCATGGTAGCCAATCATCTTATAACTTCAGCTTGTTCATTTAAGCTTTGAAAAATAAAACCTGAAAGCTGATTGGTTTCTATGCAGAGCTGCACCAGGTTTTGTATTCTCCAGTTTTAGTAAATAACCACCATAAAGTTTATAGTTTATGCATTACACAGACTTCAAGTGAAGTCAAATTAATATTTTATTTCATTGTATCCAAAAAGAGTATTTTTTTTTCAATATACAGACAATATAAAAACTGCATATGCTTCAGTGCTTCTTTAGGACCCCATCTCTCTTCCCCACTGGTTGTACCCCAGAGATAAAAAGTCTTTGGTTATTCATAACTAACAGAAAAGAAGATGTTTCTCCCTATCAGTCAGATCCTTTCATTTTCAAATCTGCATCAGAAATAGTGAGCTGAAATCTGATTGGCTCTAGCCAACGCCCCTCTCCTCTTCCTCCTGCTTGTGTGGAATGTCCCCTGTTAGTGATGAGCACAATGTTCATAAATTAACGAACAGAATGAATTTGAAAACCAACACAGCAACCAAATCTGTACAGGGCTCTTCATCTAGTAAGAGGGAAAACAATGTTAATACTGAAACGTGTATGGAATATCAACCCAAACTCTTTCTCATATCAAGTCACAAAGCTGGCACACCAGGATAAGGATAAAAAAAATAAAAAAAATAAAAAAATATATAGAAGTTACTTTTTTAATTTAACATTTATATATATATATATATTTATATATATATATATATATATATATATATATATATATATATATAAAAATGTTAAATTAAAAAAGTAACTTCTCAGCAGAGCCCATTGAGTTAAAAATAATAATACATTGCTACATAAAGATCCTTATTCCCCTGATAAAGCTTTGTGAATTGAGCCTGTCAGTGATATGGAAGTAAAGAAGCACTGGATGGGGCAGGAAAGTGCACATATACAGGACCATGAATCCCTCTAGTAAAGTATCTTGCATAGGACGAATAAATTAGATAAATGATGTGGGTTCAAGTTTTTTTTTTTTTTTTTCTTAAAAAGGTACAAAAATAAGTGTACATGCTGTAGGCAGATAATAGTAAGATATCATAATAATAATAATAATTAAAAAATAAATCCTCCCCTTCCCTACAGTGATAGGTCAGAAACGCAAACTGACAACCTATTAATTCCTGGAAGTGGCTTTGTGATATGGAAGAAGAAGAAGTTGATCGCCTTGCGACAGTCTGTAACAATGTGCGATTTTTATACGTCCCCATCGGTAAGGCTGTAGTATTTGCCGGGGTTGGGGAAGCACAGGTAGGGGATGGTGCTCCCTGGGTAGATGACAGGGAAGGGCATTGGCAAGACGCACCTATTCAAGAAAGAACTGTCTTTGTAGAGGACTGAGAGATCCCCAGCAGTTTCCCCAGATCCGGGACCCTCCAGTTCTGCTGACATCTGTCTTTTCAGCTTGTTCCTTCGGTTCTGGAACCAGATTTTCACCTGGGTCTCAGTTAATTGCAAGGAGTTCGCTAAACAGGCCCGCTCGGCACTGCTGAGATAGCGCTTCATGTCGAAGGTGGACTCCAGCTGGAAGATCTGGCTCTTGGAGAAGATGGTCCGGGTCTTCTTCTTGGCCAGGAGTTTGTTCTTCTTACCGAGCAGGTCGGGCGATGGTGAGGGCCCATCCACCAAGCTGTCAGCGATGTCTCCCCTGTAAGGTAAGTCTCTGTGCTTTGGGGACTGCTCAGTGCAGTAGCTAAGGCTTTGGGTGGAGGTCAGGAGGCATCTGGTGTCTGCAAAAGAAAATCCCAAAAAACAAAAAAGAAATAAAAAGATATGTAAACTGTAACAATAATTTTCCTCCTGTTTGAGGTTTTCCTCGATCTGTGCAAATAAAATGTAGCTGTTCATCCAGCAAAAAATCATGTGAGCTCCTAAGTATAATTATGTGTGCTTTCTGCCTCTGGACTGCTATCAGTTAGCTATGTTCCTACTATAGCCATGAACTACAAACACCTCCCTAAGTGGTGTTCTCTGCCTCTGGACTGCTATCAGTTAGCTATGTTCCTACTATAGCTATGAACTACAAACACACTCTCTCTGTGGTGCTCTCTGCCTCTGGGCTGTTATCAGTTACCTATGTTCCTGCTATAGCCATGAACTACAAACACCTCCCTCTGTTGTGCTCTCTGCCTCTGGACTGTTATCAGTTAGCTATGCCCCTGCTATAGCCATGAACTACAAACACTTCCCTCTGTTGTGCTCTCTGCCTCTGGGCTGTTATCAGTTAGCTATGCCCTTGCTATAGCCATGAACTGCAAACACCTCCCTCTGTTGTGCTCTCTGCCTCTGGACTGTTATCAGTTAGCTATGCCCCTGCTATAGCCATGAACTACAAACACCTCCCTCTGTTGTGCTCTCTGCCTCTGGGCTGTTATCAGTTAGCTATGCCCTTGCTATAGCCATGAACTGCAAACACCTCCCTCTGTTGTGCTCTCTGCCTCTGGACTGTTATCAGTTAGCTATGCTCCTGCTATAGCCATGAACTACAAACACCTCCCTCTGTTGTGTTCTCTGCCTCTAAGCTGTTATCAGTTAGCTATGTTCATACTATAGCCATGAACTACAAACACCTCCCTAAGTGGTGTTCTCTGCCTCTGGGCTGTTATCAGTTAGCTATGTTCCTGCTACAGCCATGGACTACAAACACATCCCTCTGTTGTGCTCTCTGCCTCTGGGCTGTTATCAGTTAGCTATGTTCCTGCTATAGCCATGAACTACAAACACCTCCCTCTGTGGTGCTTTCTGCCTCTCGGCTGTTATCAGTTAGCTATGTTCCTGCTATAGTTATGAAGTACAAATACCTCCCTCGGTGGTGCTTTCTGACTCTGGACTGTTTTCAGTTAGCATTGTTCCTGCTATACCCATGAACTACAAACACCTCCCTCTGTTATGCTCTCTGCCTCTGGACTGTTATCATTTATCTATGTTCCTTTAATAGCCATGAACTACAAACATCTCCCACTGTCATGGAGAAGAGAGGGAGGTGTTATGTAGTCCTGAAACAGTAGGGTTGGTTTACTGAAAGCAAATAGACTGTGCACTTTGCAAAATGCAGTTGCTCCAGAGCTTAGTAAATGAGGTAATGTTTTACTTTACAATGAATATCCAATTAGGGCAAGAAAAATAAAAAAAAACAGCATTTTTTGCTTGAACATGATTGGCTGACGGAAGTCAGCAGAGCTTTTGCTCATTTATTAAGCACTGGAGCAACTGAGCTTGCAGAGTGCAGCTGCACTTTACAAAGTGCACAGTCTATTTGCCTTTAGTAGATCACCCCCCTGTGATACACTTCCTATCCTGGGATGACAATGCTGCCCAGAAAGGTTGTCACCCTAGAACAGGAAGTGAGTTAATGGCATGATTGCCAGGTTAATATGAAGGAAAAAGTATGTGGAAAAAAAGAAAACTAATGCAGCCATGACATCTAAAGACTGATAAACTGGGCTTTAGATACATTTTCAAATTGATTACATGGTATAATGAAGGAACGATGGGACACTGGTGATCTCACTGGTGATGCAGATCTGATTAGCACTAAAAACCTTTTTATTTTGGGCTATTTCTAAAACTATAATCTCCATAGAATGTACTTTTTTGGAATTCTACAGATGACTTCCCCAGCTCTTCAGATAAAACTCTGCAGGTCACTTGCTTCTATATACTGATCTCAAACTATGCCACACTAGGTTAAAGGATCATCATTACCAAGAATATTATATTATTAATTATATTATATTATATTATTTAATGTTATGTCCTGCAAACTGCAAGGTGTATTGATGGTATCCACTAGATGAATCATGTTTCGTTTTCCCCTACTTATTGACATTTTCTCCACATTTATTAGGTGCAGACCAAGCTATCCAATACAGTGACAGTGACAGTAACAGGGGCAAATTATAAGCAAAGGGGGGGGGACATTTATTGGCTGCAACTAAAATTTTTATTATATTTATTTTTTTATTTGAAAGATGCAACCATTTGGATTGTTGCAAGCGCCCTTGGAAAGTTTTGGCTCAATCACTATCACTTTTTCTGGACAGCTTGACCTGCACATAAATTTATTGGAAATGCAAATGAGGGCATGCGAAAGGGAAAAAAAGTGTTCTTCTAAATAAATGTTGCCTATATATATATATATATATATATATATATATATATTAAAAAAAACACTGCATACATTTATCGTAATATTTTTCTCCATTTTGGTCCTCCAAAACCTCCATAGAACTTTGGAACTGAATTAAAAAGTTCCACCCAGACACAATGTATTTTACCTTATTAATATATAGGAATGATGACAAAAAGCTGCGCGGTATTTACACAGGATCAGCTGCATTCGTTGGATTTAATTGCACAATTAGAATATGACATTGGGGATCCATTTTCATGATCATTTCAGAGCACAGACCAGTCAATACAATCAGGATTTATTGCTATACAATTAACGTCAATCCATAGGCAGATTTCAGGGGCTGGGGTCCATGCCTAATATTGAGAACCTCTCTGTGCTGACCTGTGGCTGAGTGGGCTCAGCCTGCTTGCGCTGGGACTTGTAGTTCTCCAGCAGCTGTAGAACCTCAGGCTGGCTTATCCTGGATTAGTGTAGAGGGTGGGAGTCTCCCATATGGTCATTATATATGGTCCCAGATTCCGGAGTCCCAGCTGTACTGATTCCCAGCCGTCAGATGCTCTGTCCTGGGGACACCAACTTTAACCCAATATAATAGGAATATTATACCATGAGTCGTACTATCAGCAGCTGAAATCTCAGTTCATAACTGTTCGTAAATCATCAAATTAAGGATTGTTTAAATGTCATAACGATCAATTGATATCTCCAATATCTCTATAGCTACATAATAGCCCCAAGTTATATATATATATATATATATATATATATATATATATATATAGTACATATGTATATAATTTTATTATTTTCTTCTTTTTTTTTTAACGGTGGAGAGTACCAACAGGCAAAGATAATCTATCCAGGTAACCAGACATGTCCTCCCTCAAAAAGCACCAAAATAAATAAAACTATTGGGGATGCCTGTATTCTCTAGAAGTAATGCATTATGCTCTCTGTGCTATAACCCCTTTGTATTCTATATCCCCCTGTATTATGGATGTTTGTGTGTTACATTGTTACATATATAGGATATTATAGAAAGAGTTTCTGCAGCATTACAATAATTACATTCATATCTTCATAAAAAATAAGTGAACACTGTGTAGAACAATTAGATGTATGATATAGTGCCACATTCTTGACTTGTATATAGTATGAGTATTTATTACATATATATCTTCATAACAATAAGTGAACACTGTGTGCATTTAATAATTAGATGTATGGTAGTGTCATATAAATCACACACACACATATATATCATAATATAGTAGGAGTATCTACATCATTACAATAATTGATACATACACACACATCATGCTTGCAGTTAAGAGATGAATGGTAGTGTAATGTATATATCATATGCAGTATAATATAATAGGAGTATCTATAGCATTGGAAAATTAAAACAGGTGTATACATATCTTGCTGATAAATATGTGAACACTGTCTCCATTAAATTGACAGAGTCATGATAGAGTAATGTAAATAACATATAGTATAAAGTATCTACAGCATTGGAATACATATATATATATATATATTGCTGACAAATAAGTGAACACTGTGTGCATTAAATTAACAGATGAATGATAGTGTAATGTAAACAACAAACAACATCTATAGTATAGAGTATCTAGAGCATGGGAATAGGTGTGTACACATATATATTGCTGATAAATGAGTGAATAATCTGTGCATTGAATTAACAGATGAATGATAGTGTAATGTAAATAACTTGTATATAGTATAGAGTATCTACAGCATGGGAATAGATGTGTGTGTGTATATATGTATATATATATATATATATATATATATTATATATATATATATATATATATCTTGCTGATAAATAAGTGAATGATCTGTGCATTGTATTAACAGATGAATGATAGTCTAATGTAGTAATGTAAATAACGTATATATAGTATAGAGTATCTATGGCATGGGAATAGGTGTGTGTGTGTATATGTATATATATACATATATATATATATATATATATATATATATATATATGATACGTGAATAATCTGTGCATTGAACAGATGACTGATATTGTAATGTAAATAACGTATATATAGTATGGTGTATCTATAGTATGGGAATAGGTGTGTATATATCTTGCAGATAAATACGTGAATAATTTGTGCATTGAATTAACAGATGAATGATAGTGTAATGTAAATAACTTATATATAGTATGGAGTATCTATAGTATGGGAATAGGTGTGTATATATATCTTACTGATATATAGGTGAATTAACAGATTGATGATAGTGTGATATAAAGACCTGTACATATAGAACTTAGATTATGACAATATATTAGAAGTATACTATACTTATATTTAATGCATTATGTTGG